AAACAAATGTTTGCTTCTTCATCAGATTCGCTCAAGTCGGAAATTGTTTCGTTGTCATCGTCCCATGCGATGTAGGCTTTCTTTTTCTTGAAGAACTTCTTTTCTTTTATTTCTTCATCCTTCTTTTGATTTGGGCAGTCAGCTTTTAAATGCCCCCTTTCTCCGCAACCGTAGCATCTATAGTTTGAGGAAGATCCTTGATTTTCTCTCTTTTCATATTTGGCACTTCCTTTGTCTTTTGACCTCATGAACCTGTTGAGCCTTTTTATCATGAGTCTTAAATTTTCTTCATCTTCTAAGTCCTCATCTTCTATTTTGCTCTTGCTCCTTTCTACCTCAGATTTTAAGGCTAGACTCTTTTTCTTAGTTTTTGCTTTTGCTTCTTCTTCATCTAGTCTTCCGAGGTTAAGCTCATGCTCTCTCAACTTTCCAAATAGTGCAACCATAGTCATTGTGTTGAGGTTTCGTGACTCAGAAATTGCATTCACTTTTGGTTGCCACGACCTGTCTAAAGATTTTAAAATTTTGATATTAAGCTCATCATTTTCGAAAGACTTACCTAGTCCAATGAGATGATTAACGATGTTGGTGAAGCGTTTATGAACGTCTGAGATTGTTTCTCCGTGCTTCATCCTGAACATTTTGTATTCTTGGATCAAGGTATTCTTTCTCGCTCTCTTTACGTCATTTGTACCTTCATGGGTCACTCTCATCACTTCCCACATCTCTTGAGTGGTCTTACAAACAGAGATCCTGTAAACCTTTTCTTTTCTTCAGCAGTCCATTGAACATGGGGCTTCGGTTCCTGCATATTGTTAGTAGGAATAGACAGACCAAATACAATAACTTCCCAAATATCACAATCAATAGACTCAATAAATATTTGCATTATAACCTTCCAGAATGCATGATTTTCACATGTGAATAGAGGTGGCCTATTGATAGAAGCACCCTCTGTAAAAGTTTTATATGATCCTCCCATTTGAATAACTATCAAATCGAGCTCTGATGCCAATTATCAGAGTGGCTGTAGCGGAATTGTTAGCGTGGGATAACAAACCAAGAGGGTTTTTAATACGAAGTTGTGCCTTTTAATTTCTACTCAATTAAACTTACTAAGCAAATAATAAAGACAAATAAAGAGAGTAAAGTTGAGAGAAATTTACACAGATGATTTTATCCTGGTTCGGATCTTACTAATCCTACGTCCAGTCGCTTATCTCAAACCAAGATAAATAGTTTACTACTCACAAAACAATTACAAATTACAATCACAAAGAAACAATTTGTAAACGTTTAGAAACCATCTTTCTTGATACCACAAGAGATGAACCTGCACCTCCTTTGAGTCTTCACAAAGGATGAACACCTCCTCTTAATACTTCACGAAGGATGAACTTCCTCTTCCGAACACCTCCTCAAACACACCAAGGATTAACCGACTATTTCCTCTGTCACCGTAGCAGCACTTCACCAGCTCCACAGACACGAGTTTCACAAGCCGAACAAGAACACACAAGTCTCAATGATTTATGAGTACTAGAGCACAAGGGAAGAGTTATTGTTGATGGAAAATGAGAGCCTATTTATAGACTCAAGCAAATACTCTTCCATTCTTCGTTTCCAGCCATTTAACGCTTTTAATTGATGAATATTAGTGTTAATCCATTAAAATGAGTACAACGGCTAGTTTAATGGCTAGAAAACTCCAACGGTCACTTTTAATCGATTAAAATGTATTTTAATGATTAGCTAATAGATTAAAATTTATTTTAATCTATTCAATCGGTAAAAGTTGAGTTTTCAGCTTTTACTTGTTTTAATCGATTAATATTATGTTTAATTGATTAAAATAGTGTGATTTTGACTCTAGACATCAATTATATAATATAAAAGTACATGGAATCAAAACCACTAAAAATCTAAGTCCTAGACACTGAACTACAATTATTACAAACATTACAATACCAGTCTTCATAACATCTTCTTGAATCTTGATTTCCCTTGACTTGATTTGGACATCATCAAAACTTCATCTTCATCATTTTGTTAACAAATTAGATTATTGTAAAAGTGGTTTTATTGACAAAACAAAGAATAAATTAATATGAACTAAAATTGAATAATATTGTACAAAATAAACTACATTGTTCAACCTAATATCATTCATACAACTAATTGTTCATACATAAAAATTAAAAAGAAAGATGTTCATTACATATGTTCATTACATATGTTCAATACATATGTTCAATACATATATTCAATACAAATGTTCAATACTAAAAATATGACTCGTAAATATATTCAATAACTATGAAGGTTATACCTTAAGTAGTAATTATTAGGTTTAATGTATCGGTAGGTACATATTTTCGTTTAGAATTTCAAATAGGTCTCTGACTTGGTCGGCGTCTCAATTGGGTTCTTATCTTTGTAAAATTGAATCAAATAAAGGCTTGCCATCAAATTGAGCAAACGATGTTAAGCAGGGTGTTACGTGGCATGCTGACAGTGTAGTTTTAATTTACATGGCATTAAAAACGTGTGTCAATTATATTTTTGAATTAAAAACTTCAGTGTACAGAGTGAAAATATAATTTAAGTAAGGGCAAAGTTGGGAAATCATATTAAATCAAGTGCTGAAAGACCCATTATGTGCAATTGTGAAATCTAAATCAAATTGGGGGAATGTGAGTTTTAGGGTTCATGGGAGAAATCTAAATCCAACTCCTATTCTTTGAAGCTCTCTAAGTCCCTTGGAATCTGTCTTTTTGAGTTTTCCCACAAACGGATCAAGAACTCGACGGTAATAGAAAATGAAAACTGCCACATTGAGTATATCAAAGTTGGACATGCTAACTAGTGGTATTCTAAAAGTGGAGACAGTGGTTTTCATGGCAGCGCCTTGCTCCACAAAAAGTGAAGCCATATGTGTGAAAACCATAGAGTATATTATGGTGCAGAGCCAAATTGGAAGAAGTCTCTTTAATGCACTTCACCTCTTCAACTTGACTTACTGGACAGAGGCGCCAGGGGTTATAACCGTTCCCTTTCTGATCATCTAGATCTCTTGAAGATATAAATGTTGCCCTGTCCAAGAACCTGCAATACAGTAACAAATGGCAAATTGTTCAAACTGTTATTACTCACTACAACCAAAAAATGGAGAACAGTACTGGAGTGAAAATCAAATGCGTATTAATTTTTAGCAAAATGATCACATAAAATAATATTCAGGAAAAACATTCCATGCAGCCTCAGCTACACATGAATACATTCGATGTGTAGTTTCAGCTGAAAGGAACTTCCACTACTTACTTGTTTTCTCCCACGAACCCTAAAACTCACCTTCCCCAATCAGATTTCGATTTCGTAATTGCAAAGGAGAAAGGGGCTTTCAGCACTTAATTTAATTTGATTTTCCAACTTTGCCCTTACTTAACTTATGTTTCCACACTGTACACTTAATTTTTCAATTCAAAAATTAAAAAAATACAAATGACACACGTTTTTAATGTCACATAAATTAAAACTACATTGTCAGCATTTCACATAACACCCTCCTTTACAGGGTTTGCTCAATTTGACGACAAATCTTTATTTGATTCAGTTTTACAAAAATAAGGACCCAATTGAGACGCCAAACAAGTCGGGGACTTATTTGAGATTCTGGACAAAAATAGAGACCTACCGAGACATTATACCTAATTATTAAACAAAAATTAGAAAGTTCGACAGCAAAAATAAAAAATCAAACAAAAATAGAAAATCAATCCTAGAATTGAGAAATGACTCGTAGTTAGTCAAAAATGGCCTAGAACCATGTAACAAAAATGCCAAAATCTCCAAATTAAAACATTAGACAACGCTTTGCTTCCTAACTATTTTTTTAGAAAAAAAAGTTATGTAACTCAAGCACACTTTTCAATCAGACAAGACTCCCTCCAACTAAATTGAAACACTACTTTCACCAAATGGAATAATTGAATGCAACATTCTCTCCCATTTTGAGAATAGTAGGGAAAAAAAAGGGATTCAGAGGGTGGGAGTAGAAATCGATTGGAAAATAAATTAAAAAGAAGAGAAACCTTTTTTCTATGCATACTAATCGAGGTTGTACCCGAATTAAATTTAATGTTCAATTAAATGCAGTATACTAGAAGAATAATCCTAGGTCGTCTCTCAAGGACCAATTTGGTTCAGGAATTAATTCAAACACGTAGTGGGAAGAATTGGACAGTTTTGAACTACAAATTAACAAACTAAAACACGAACTTCACACAATGAAAAGACAGATTGGTCATTATGAACGAATTGAAACTACAACCAAGCATTAAAAACGTATAACAAAGAACTGGAAAATGCAGAACTGCAGTGGAAAAATAAAAACGCTACTGAAATAAAGATTCAAAATAGAATTGCACATTAGAAAACAAACCCCATTGCAGAAGTGAAAACCCAGAAACAAGAACCCTAATCCTAAAACGAAAATGAAACCCAAATATTGGAATGTGCCCGAATGCGAAATTAGATGCAACAACCAAACTCAGAAAACGAAATGAAATTAAAAGCAAGGTGCAGAAACGAAAATCAATGCTGGAACCAAATGGAAAACGAAATTTAAATTGGAGAATGCAAGTGTTGAGAGAGAAACGAAAATGGAGAATATATTTAAAACCAAATTTGAATTCAATAAAATGAAGAGAAAATAAGAAAACGCAAATGAAGATGGAACCTAAACTTGGAGAGCTCTCCTCTCCCCAAGAATAAGCAAAACGTGAAAATGAGAGAGTGTGGGAGAGTAGTGACGGTTGCCCCCTCATGGGCACTAAAACGTAGGTCAGAAATTACACTTGGGCCTCTCTAAAAAATGACTAAAAACGGCCCAAACACTAATTCTGCCCAAAAATCCACTTAAACGAAATTATAATTTAATTCTAAGCTAAAATGCTGATGTTGCAAGTGAAGAATGATGTGGCAACTCTTTAATGTCCCAAAATATATTTCCAAAAATTCCCCTGTATTTAAAATTGACAATAATTAGCCTCAAATAATTCAAATTAATTAAAATAAGAATTTCTTGTCAAATTAAGCACACTTAATAAAAATGGGGAAATAATGAACATTCAATAACAATTCCCTAATTAAATCTAATACAATAAGGTAAATGAAGTCAAGAAAATATTGACTCATCACATACCTTGGTAAGAGACGAAAGGTTTAACCGGAAAAATCCACGGATCGAGCATAGAGGTTGAAGTTGAAGACCTCACTCAGCCAACATGAAGCCATACGAGCTCAACCAACAATGAAGCTTGTGGTGCAGTAAAATGAAGATTATGGTTTGGAAGAAAATGAAAGCGACAAAAAAAACAAAGACTGTGGTTTGGGGGAAATAACGGTAGTGGGGAGGTATTAGGGTTTGAGGGAAAAACTAGCGAATTAGGTGCGAAAGGAACCAAGGCGTGGGAGAAAATAATTAGGAAATTATTTAGGGGTTACTGGAAAATTATTTTAAAAATAAAAAAATTTACATGTTAGGGGCAGTTTTTGTTCTATACCGCCAGAATATTCTTTCAAAAAAATAAAATAAAATAACTGCAGTTTTAGTTAAAATCCGCCAAAAAAATTTTTGGAGTTTAAAAAATCGTCGGAAAACCTAAATTTTTTTTTTGTAGTGAATATACTAATACTAAAATCATTTTAGCTTTTTCTTAATTAGAATACCCACGTAAATGAAATATCCAACAAAGCATTTTAACTTTATTGAAAAAACAACTTTCTCTAAAATTTTTATTACCTGACTACTTGATGTACGAGTCATTCAGGACATACATAACAAGAAAAAAATCATAAACACTCAAAACAGAAAAACCTGCTTTTGATACCAAAATAATACTTCATCATAATGCTCCTAAAAACACTTGAGAATACTTCATCATAATGTTCCTAAAAACACTTGAAAATTTTTCACACATTTCTAAACATTTATTTCATATCTTAAAATAAATATTGAAGATACAATTTCATTTTTCCTCATGTTCTACACTTCAAAATTTATTCAATAATGAAAACATATAATTAAAATTGTTCCATATATATTCAAAATAAAAATCTTTCTTTCCAATGCAATCCCAAGTTCATCAGTATGTACATACATAATATTATCTACAACCTTATTTGTTCTCAATGACACAAGTCATAAGATTATCACATATAAAAATCATAATCATCTTTTAAAACATCATAATTAACTCAAGTTATATCAATCATAAAATTATCACGCCACAATTCATCCAAGCCTTTTCATCAAATATCACATAATCAATTACAACAATTGTTGTCTCATACAATAATAACAATCCACGTGTAGTCTCAGCTCAAGAGGTTAAATTATCAGTATAACTTCCGCACGTAATTTACCATTCAAATTAGCTCACCTGTAGAGACAAACTAACTCTTCCTTCCTACTCTCCAAGAATCTCCAGATAGAGTCTACTTTCTTTATTTCTCCCTAGGTTTCTTATGGCAACCTCCTTAGCTAGGTTGGGCCAAAGCTAAGAGATGTGCATGTAGGTGTGTTTTCTTGGATGAATGGTGCGGAAATGTGGTGGTAATAGTCCAAGGATGATGAGCTAAGGTATGGATGGGTAGGAGCTCAAAGCCTCTAAGAGATATGGTGATGATGATGTAGTGTTTGGTGGCTCCAAGAGAGGTTAGGCCAACTCAAGGAGGAAGGTGACTAGAAGGGCCTTTAGGATTGTTCTAGTTTTGATCAAAGAAGAGTATGACCATATTTTGGCAAAATAACATTACTTAAGTCCAAGATGAAATATAAGAGTGGAGACACCTCTATTTATAGGTCAAGGGTGTCTCCTTCTAATCCTAAAAGAATGATCTCCCACCTTTTTCTCTCATTGGCCAAAAATGGGGCCTTCTAACCTTTCCAGTGATGGGAGGAAATTTGGTCACTAACAAAACACAATCATCTCCATTCCTATTGTGCCATGTGGCCACTACTAAAAGCAAATTATCTCCAAAGATGGAGGGACATGTGGCCACTACCAAAAAGATATTTTCTCCACTCCTAGGATGCCATGTGACCACTTCTTAAAAGAAAATCCTCTCCAATGGAAGCATGACACATGACACACGCTTTTCATTTGGTTTGGATGTTTAACTTAAGGAAAATCATATACTACTTAGGCCTTAATACAGGCCTTAATACAAGCCTTAAACAAACCTACACTACAAGGTCAAATACAATGGCCTAAATATCCTACACTACTCTTAAATCCATGCTCTATGATGGTTCCAAAGGTGGTCCACAGGGTAGAGTTGATGTCATCTCCATAAATGACTTCCACTCTCTTGAAAGTGTTTGACCATGGCTAAGGAATTTGCCATCAGTTTTACAACAAAATACGCACGTGTCATTTCCCATTACTTTTCTTAAGAACTCTATCAATGAAGTTCACTTCTGATGTAGCTATGTTGAATTTGTCATTCCTTGCTACTCTCCTAAAAACATAGTCAAAATTTTCAAAGTCAGCTTTCATATCTCCCTTACCTTTTGATGAGACACACATGCTTCTCAACCAAACATTACATATATTTCATTGAAATAACTCATATTCTAACTCATTATCATTATTTCAAATAATCAATATAAAATTAAAACTTGATCAACATACAAACAAACAGTGCCCAAAACTCAAAAACAACATGTTAGTTTCCTGATGACACCCAACGCCTCATGTCTCGCTTAGTGAAATCTACACCAAAACTTAAAGTCACCAACAACTCATCTTTTTTATCTAACCAGAGCAAACAAATACACATGTCGCCCATCGACACAAAATGGTGCACTAAGCGAACCCACCTACCCACAAATATTTCAAAACGTAAACCTAATATTGTTGTCCTCTTCCCTTAATTCTTTTCAATATTCTTACACTCTGATTATATCTCCTTAAAATATTCTCTAACATTCTCAAGTACTAAAAATAATCTAACATGACTAAATTTTTAGCTTCGTATAAATCATCATCCTTCCAAAATATTTTATGTATATATAAAAACTTTCTTTATCATAAATCAGTTATTCTCTATTGATCGCCAAATTCATTGTAACATCCTAATAATATAGTATAATACTATATAAAGAGTTATCACAAATATGATATGATAGAACAATTATCAAACTAAAGTATAAAGTATAAACTTACAATCATCCAAAATAACCATAAAATTTTAAACTTTATATACAAGTGGCTAACAAAACTATAAACAAATCTAATCTAAAACTAACTAAACAGCAACATCACCTTCGTCCAATGTCTGCTCCAGGAAAACCTCGTCTCCCTCTGCTCACACCCACAAAATGATCATTGCAAAGAAGAAAACACCGCAACATACAAAACACCGCAACATACAAAACACGAGCACAAACAACAGGGTAAGCTAGTCTAAATAAAAGAACAATCAATATATTCATCAACTACATTACATACAATCACACATAGTCATTCACCAACACAACACACTTTATGCATGACACTAAAATGAATTTAACCGTCCGGACTTAGAATGAATACCGAGCTATGGTGAATTTTGCACTTGTGGTGGCCTCTATTGCTTTGCAAAATTGCCAATGGGTTTCACCCTACCACCCAAACAAGGTTAGTCCATTACCGCGTAATACTCCTCTAAGTAGCGCCTACACTAGGATCTCCTACTACTCTCACCACATGTATCAATCCTCTCTATTTGAGAATGAAAGATCATTAGAGTGTTATGATAACCCCCAATACTAAGCTCCCTGTATTCATTCTAATACACCTTAAACCGTACCGAAGGAGTTCCTCCATGGAACCCATATTACCAACCATAAAAACCATTTGAAACCAACTAAATCATGCATACTTCCATAATTGAATGCCTACAAATCACCAATTGGTGTTGGGAAACCAACCTTAGAACCTAAATTGAGCTAAGAATCAAGAAAGAGAGATCCTACTCACATGCAAAGACATATTTTTTGCATGATCACAAATTAAGGAATTACCAAGAAAAGGGAACGAAACTTACTTGCTCTAATCAAGAAATTGATCGCTTGGAAAGGTAGCCCTTGTCACAAGGATCACCTAGACACCTCCTGATCGTCGAACAAATGATTTAGGAGTAAGAAATTGTAGAAAGAAGCAAGAGGAAACAAAGAGAACGAGTTTTAGAGAGATAAATGATATTTTAGATAATGAGACGAGCTTAGAAAATTCTATTTATGTTATAAGATTATTTTATAATAAAATACTCGGTCTCATATTTTCATACATCTATCAACTCAAATACTCCATTTTCTAGGTTTTTACATTCTCCCCAACAACAAAAATTTTTTACCTCAAAAATTAGACTTACTAAAGAATAGGTGAGGATAAGACTCTCTCATGACTCCCTCTAACTCCCAGGTAGAGTCACCTGTCCTACTATCCCAAACAACTCTGACTAGACTGATGGTCTTTCCTCTGAGTTGTTTTGTCTGGCTCTCCACAATCCTGACAGGTTGCACATCCACTGAAAGATCTTCTCTAATATGCACATCCTCTACTTCTAGCACATGAGAGAGGTCAGACACATACTTCCTAAGCTGTGAGACATGGAATATTGAATGAAGATTCGCCAGCTAGGGAGACATGACTATCTCATAAGAACCTGACCCTACCTGCCTCAAGATCTGATAAGGACCAATGAACCTATGAGATAACTTCCTAGAGCGAATAGCTCTTCCCACACCAATAGTAGGAGTCA